AAGGTCGGCGCAGCGCTTCTGCAAGCGTTCCTGCCCCCTCTTCCACCGGGCGAGCTCCTTGGCGAGATGCTCGCGCTCGGCCATCCTGCGGAGGCCGTCGGCAAGCGCGATCCTCGCCGCGGAGTGCGATTCGTCTTCGTGGTGGGGGGGCAGAAATGCGCCGGAGCGGCAGGCGGCGCGGCCGGCGTCGCAGCAGGCGCGCGGCTGGAGGCGTCGGGTGGGGGGCAACGAAAAGACATAAATACAGAGAGTGAGAGAGGGGTGCATTATATATATATATATATATATATATATATATATACGAACGAGTTGTTTGTTGTCATGTATATGTATATCTATTATACATACTATAGTGTATAGAGAGAGTATGAGGGAGAGAGGAGAGAGAGAGAGAGAGTAATTAAATAGAAAGAGAGAGTGAGAGAGAGAGAGAGAGATGAGAGAGAGCGGACAAAGGGAGAGAGAGAGAGAGAGAGGAGAGAGATGAGAGAGTGAGAAGAGAGAGAGGGAGAGGCACGCTAGGTGCGCTGGTTTCATATCTGACGTCCTACCCCTCCCTCCCATTCCTTAAACATGGCGATGAGATTTTATCATATCCGCGGACCGCGTGTCTACGGGCCACCTGTGGCTCCCGCGCGCGCCGTGCGAGTATACTAGTGGGTGGCAGTGCGCGTGCGTGGCGTAGCGTCGCTGTGTGTGCCGTGGTCTGTGGGTGGGGAGTGGTTGGTTGGGTGGTGGTGGTGGTGGGGGTGGGGGTTGTGGGTGGTAGGTGGTGGTAGGTGGTGGTGGTGGTGGTAGGTGGTGGTGGGTTTTGTTGGTGGTGGTAGTGTTGGTGGTAGGTGGTGGTAGGTGGTGGTGGTGGTGGTGGTGGTGGTGGTGGTGGTGGTGGTGGTGGCGCGGCGCGGTGGTGGCGGGCGGATGGGCGCGCGAGAAAGAGGCCCGCGCTGGGGCGAGAACGCCATCCTCAACGACGGAGGCCAAACACCGATCCGAAAATGAGGCCCACGCTGGAGCGGGAGCACGATTCGGAACGATTCGGGGGCAGAAATGAGGCCGGCGCCTCAGCGAGAGCAGCATTTTAGAAAAAAAACACAAGCGAAAACCCAACTCCGGGGAATCCTGTGTGTAAAAAAACAGTACGCGGGGGGGTGCCGAATATCTTCCGGACGCCATCAGGGGAAGTGGGAGAGTATTTTCATATTGTGTAATTGTAGAGAGAGGAGAGAGGAAAGAGGAGAGAGGAAAGAGAGAGAGAGAGAGAAAGAGAGAGAGAGAGAGAGAGAGAGAGAGAGAGAGAGAGAGATGAGGAGAGATGAGGAAAGATGAGAGAGAGTGATGAGAGGGAGAGAGATAGAGAGAAAGAGAGGGAGGGGGAGAGAGTGAGAGAGAGGAGAGAAGATACTGCACACTTTTATATATCATATCTCATATATATATATATCATTATATTACTATATAAGACAAGACTGCTCTGGCGACTGCCCGCGCATGCACCTTGGTCTTAGTTTTCGCAAGCCTGCGGACATCCGTGCAGTGCGAACTCTCATTTTGCGCGCGCATCTGCGCCCGTGCGTACATGTTGCATTTGTGAGTATGAATGTACGCGTGCAAGGGTAATCCAGAAGCCGCATTAAAGTGATCATTTCCCCCCTCTGTGACAGAGGGGGCGTTTTTCGGAGGCCCTCTGTGACAGAGGGGGTGCGTTTGGAAGCCCTCTGTGACAGAGGGGGTGCGTTTGGAGGCTCTCTGTGACAGAGTTGCTCGTCATCCCGTTCCTCCTCATCCTGCTTCTTGATTTCGGATATGTCATGCTACCACTGCGCTCATCATCTTTGCGTCTGTGATCCTCGTCGTGTTTTTTCCATGCGTCCTTTTCACAATTTCCACCACATTATCCTCCGTTGCCGTTCTGCCCCGCCATCTACCTCGTCACTCTCCTTCGTCTGCATGTCCTCATTCTCTTCCGCTCTTTTTTCTCCCCCCTCTGGTTCGATTTCCGCTCTTCGTCCACTTCGTTCTTCCGTTACCAGCCCCCCTTCCTTTCAAGTTCTCTGCCGTCCAATCACATCGCGTCGTCCGTCGCCGCTATGCTCAAACCATCCCGCGCCCGTGGGATTGCCCGCGAGCAACGGTGCAGCCGGGCCCGTCGCGGCCTAACGCGCGCCTGCGCCATCGTCTTGCAATGGGCGATGCAGGCGGATGCACATGGGGTGGCGCGCGAGGATGGTGGGATAGCCGCAGCAGCGGCTGGCGTGGCTGGGAGGACGGCCGTGATTGGTCAGCGTGGGGTTGGAGAGACTGGCGACAAGACGGGAACGTGCCAACGGAGGACGCCAAATGGCGCGATGGCCCTGCCGCCGCAGCAGCGGCGGCGGTCTCGCCTCAACGGCCGTCTCGCTTCGCCGCGCTTAGCGTTGTGAGCCCCCGCGCCCCTGGTCTCGGCATGCCCGAATTCGATGATTTCGTGAGGGCTGCCCTCCGAAACTCACCAGAACCTGGGGGCGCAGTTTCAGGAGAGGGGTCGGGGCCCCGAGCCGCGCCTGCGGCGCAGGAGCCCCGCGCCACCGCAGCGGCGGCGGCGCGCGGGCCCAGGATTTTGAGAAGTTTGATGTTAATTATTTTCTGAGTTATGAAGAGAGGCTCGGCACTTCGTTTAAGCAACACAACCAAGCGTTGAAATGGTGGCGCCACCTGAATGAAGACCAAACTGCCCCGTTCGAGTCAGAAGCCAAGTGGTTTGACAATGTGGAGCCCACCATGGTCGCTGTTTGCGACCACGGTGCGAGAACGAGCTTTGGTTTCAGAAGCGACGAGGAAGTCCCTTGGCGGCGGCAAGAGATGGTGGCGACGCTCAGGGGGGAAGATGCCAGGGAGGTCGTGGGGGGGCCCCGCAGCAGCGGGGCTCTGATTGGCTGCCCCCTCGAAGTCCGGCCAAACAGCTACGACCACATGCGCCAGAGTATTGTGCGCGCGCGACAGTTCGCGGGGCAGCGGGTGAAAGTGAAGCTGCCGATGTGGGATTTCGCGCTGCACCGCGACGACGGGACAGGCGTCCGCTTACACCCGCACTGGGGCGACAGGAAGGTCGAAGCTCTGCCCCTCGTGCCCCGCGCGAACACGGTGAGGCCACCAGCCGCGGGTTTGGGCGGGAGCGACGGGTCAGGAACACATCGCCGGCACAAGGACCTCGGTGCGGAGCGCAAGGTCAAGTTCGACGCCGCCAGAGAGAAGGGGGGGCCGACGCCTTCTCAGGGGCCCCGCATCAGCGGGGCCGCGGCGTCCAGCACCGGGCCCTCGGCGCCCGCAGCAGCGGCTGGCAAACCAGTAGTTTGGGGACCGAACAGCTCCCCAGACGATTTGGTTGTGGAGTAGGTGGCTCCGCAGCAGCGGGGCTCGAATGAAGGGCGCGTTGCATTTCGGCAGGGGCGCGCGCGTCGGCCGCCGAGATCGGGGGCGCGCGCGCAGGCGCCGTGGCGCGATCTTCGTTCTGAAGTCTTCCCTCTCCTCCCGGTCCCCCCATCCCGCCGCCCTCAACGTCGGCTCCTCGCCGCCCGTTCCTCGTCGCTCCACGCCTGTTCGTTCTCCTCCAACTTCCTCTCCCGCTTCCTCGCTCTCTCCTTCCCATTTTTCCTTCCATCCCATTGCATCCCTGGCACCCCAGCGAAGTTCGCAGTTAGAAGTTTGAAGTTCGGAGTTTGAAGATCGAAGTTTGAATTTCGAAGCTTCGCACTTCGAGGTTCGATCTTCGAACCTTCGTCATCTCGTCGTCGTAATCGTCGTCCTCGTTCGTCGTCGTCGTTCCTCGTCGGCGTCGATTGTCGTCGTCGTCGTCGCTCGTTGTCGTCGTCGCCGTCGTCGTCGTGGTCGGCGTCGTCGTCGGTCGTCGTCGTCGCTAGTCGTCGTCGCTGGTCGCCGTCGTGGTCATCGTCCTCGTCGTCGTCGTCGTGGTCGTCGTCGTTCTCGTTGTCGCCGTCGTGGTCATCGTCCTCGTCGTCGTCGTCGTCGTCGTTGTCGTGAAACGCCCCACGTAGGAGGAGCAGAGAAGAGAGCAAGGAGAAATGAGCACGGTGGAGGGAGGAGGGAGGATTGAACAGGAAGAGGAGGGAGCAGGGAGAGGTAGAAGGGATGAGGTAGTTCAGAAGTGGGAGCAGCAGACTGGCGCAAGGGGAAAAGTCATTTGAGCGCAGGGAGGGATGGCATTGCGATAAAGTGAATCCGCAGCCGTTGCAGGTCTGCCCCCCGCCGCGCCCGCCCGCCTCCGCGACGGGGGCGGCCCGGGGCATGGGGCAGCAAGGCGCGACTGGAACCGCGCAGGAGCCTCTGCCGAAGTCTCCGCAGCAGCGGGGGCTGCCAGAGGAGGCCCCTGACGCAGTTCCGCAGGGACTGGCAGATTCAGCACCAGCCTCCGCAGCAGCGGGGGAGGAGGTTGCAACGGAACTTAGGACATTGCTTTCGTCGCTGTCTGGTGCCCAGGAAACCGTTTCGCGGAGCCTGGTGGTTGCTCAGAAAATGATGGATCAGGGCGAGATCGCGGAGGCGCGGAAGTTAACGGCCACCGCCAACCTCGTTGTAGCCACAACGGCTAAGGAGGCGGCTTCCGCAGCAGCGGGGGCATCCGTGGTGCCAGGCGCCGCCGCAGTGGT